TGAGCAGAAGAGACTTCTTTAAAAAAACATTAAAAATCTTACTGATCAAAACCTTTTGACTGGTAGTGTATTAACACACAATTTCTAAAGTGCCTAAATGTCAAAATTAGTACAATATGTTTGTTGAAAAATACTAATACTGAACACACTATTGAATTATTAGGCTGTGACTGATATTATTTTTGTGTTGCTGTCTGCTCTAGCTCCCTCCCTTCCCTGTACAATAAACCCATGTTAATATCTGTCTCTGCTAAATTTTTTTAATGTAACTTTACAATCGATATTGATGTCCTTTAGCAATATTTGTTTATCTGAAAAACAATGCTACAGTCAGTTATTCTCCTTTGAAAATGTGCGTTCGGGGCCGGAATGTCTCTGTTTTGGTTTGTGAAACCCACCCACTGCCAGTTTAACCAATTGTATTTTGTCACCCAGGGTTGCCAGTTGGTGGGAAACACAGCGTATTTCATTTCATTCATCGTCAAGTGCGGTCGTTCCTGTTGGTGTCGTCAATCTGGCAACCTGGTGTGCGTCAAGTCTGAGGAGGAGGGGCCGCGGTGAAGTCGCGCAGGTAAAGTCGCAGGTCTTTACACTCGTTGGTCTTCACACAAGGAGGCCTGAACGCTTCCGCTGATGCTTCCGCGTCAGCGCACAGACATCAGATAAATACACAGTCTAAGACACTAAAGTGAAAACAGCTGTGGCTGTGGCTGTTTTTGAAACGCGTCGATTTTTACAAAGCTCATCGGTCTGAAAAAGCGAGGTGTGCTGTGATTGGCCAGCTATCCAGTGCGTTGTGATTGGCCGAATACCTCAAGCGTGAGCCGGAAATGTTACGCTCCTCACCATACTGTTGTATTTCCTCAGCGACCAGCACGGATCAGCTCTAGGCATGACGAAGCGGATATCGTCCTCTTTTGGAAGACCAAACAAAGTAGTTTCGCTTTCACAACGAAGCACACAGCGTCTTCAGGATATGGCGGCGGCAACAATACTACAGTGAGAATAAAAGTTACGCCTTCTTTCTTTGCGTGAACATTTGGGCGGTGTTATGCAAATCTTCCCACAGAGCGACGTAGGTATGTTGGGGCGTGTTAGAACGAGCCGTTTTAGGTAGGTGTGGCTGACTCTTAACTTTTATAAAGAATATCTCTTTGGATTTGAGACTTTAGTCTTTGCAACTTTACAGATCTTCTTTATGCACCAAGAGCTTGTAACACTCCAAAGAGAAAGGAAAAATTGAAATCGCATCATATGACCCCTTTAATAAAAACAAAACTATCTAGCGTATTGTATTTACAGATGAAATTTACCTGCACTTGAAGTCCTGAACAGGTCAGTGATGTAGTTACATTTCACTGCTTCTTCTGGGCGCTTCCTCTCTTTCATTGAGTCCCGCGCATCGGTTCTGTTCGGATCCGTTTGACGGAAGCACGGAACAGACCTGAGCTGATTCGTATAATGCAGCTCTGTCAGTCAAGACTAACCGATTTATGATTTATTATCAAATGACAAAAACGGAAATGATCACTAAATGATCACTTTGGTTGAGAAGGCATAAATATAAAATATTTATAATAATAATAATAACTAAAATTAAAAAATTAAAAAAACCGGGCCGCGGGCCAAATCAGCCGCCAGGCCACCGGGAATTCTCCCGGTGCTCCCGATGGCCAGTCCGGGCCTGGTTTTAGTCCATCCCTGAGACTATACTACCTATTTTGCCTGTCACTTTAATAAACAAATTTATAATAAAATTAAATTTATAATAAATTTAAACAATTTATAAGTATTTAGTACCCCAACATTAATATTAGCTGTGGGCCATTACCAATAATCTGCAGACAGTGCTGGTGATTTCTATAGGTAGAAGGAATTAGTTAATGAGCAATATGATTTAACAGTAGGCTACTTTGCAACACAGTTTTAATCTGATACATGACATGGGCACTTTTAGTTATGAAATGACCGCAGTCATGAGATGTGCTACCAGGAAACCATATTTAGTTAATCAGAAAGCTCACTCTCTGCCCTGCTGTGGAAATTACATTGACACGTGTCAATCCCTGCTGATCTGGCATTGTCAGCCGAGCAGCCCATTGTCCCTCATGCAGCTTCTGTTTGTCCTTGCTGCCTCCTCCCTGGCCATTTACTGCTTCAGTCCGCACATCTGTTAGTGCCCCATACATAATGCACAGTCGTTATGAGATCTGTGTTCAGATGAGTAGATTGATAATCTAAAGAAAAAAACTGTAATTTGATAGGGTGCCTCATTTCCTGCAATGTATTTTCTTGGGGGTTCTTTCAGAGGAGATACATTTATGTTACCAGACTGTCAGGCTTTATATGAATCCAAGGTATTCTTTAAAACTGCACGCATGTGGCTTCGCAGTGAAAGGCTAAAAAAAGCATGATTATATGCACTAAATTTTCACTGCCTCTATTATGCCCTCAGAGCACACAGAAGTCATGCACTGAATCATGTAAACAGACAACAGGGACACATTGAGCGAATGAACAGCAGTCTCATAATTTAGTCTCTGTCTGTATCTATGGCCTTTTCTCAGGCATTTGATCAGCTAAGGACAAAAGAAGAAGAAAAACCTGTTTGTTCCCTCATTCAATATAACTAGCAATAATAATGATGATGCTAATAATAATTATAGTAATAATAATATATTAAATTAATACAATTAAACAAATCAATAAGGAATGATATTACTATTGTACTTTCAAATAAAAAGAGTATTTAATAGTATTATAATTATTCTAAATAATATTTATTAGATTTTTTTACATTCAATTATTAAAATGAAACAATCAATAAAAATATATATTACCATTGCAGTAATTTATTATCCCGTTGTACTGTAAAATATAAAAAGACTATTTAACAATAATAGTCAAATAATATTTTATTGTAGTTTTTTAAATTAGTAAAATTATTCAATTAAGAAATATTGCAATACTAAAAAATATATAATTCATTACTATTACAATATGTATTTTACTATTGTATTGTAAAATAAAATAGTATTTAATAAAAATAATTTTCCAAAATACTATTGTATTGTATTATTTTTAAATGAGTAAAATTATTAAATTAAGAAAAATAGCAATATTTTATTTTACTACTGTACTATAAAATTAAGACTATTTAATAATAATAATAACTTCTATATTACAGAATAACAGTACAATTACAATACTTATTAATACTAAGTATTTTTTAAATGAGTAAAATTATACAATTCAGAAATATTGCAATATTTTATTTTACTACTGTATTGTAAAATTAAAAGACTAATAATTATAATTATTATTTTATTTTACAGAATAACAGTACAATTACAATACTTCTTAATACTAATATTTATGGCTGTATTAATTTCTTTGCTTTAAACGTTAAGCTATATACTTTTATCTACTTTAAACTACTAAATACTTTTATTAAACTAAACTTATTTTGGCAGAAAAATAGCTGGGAAACCTTAAAGCTTCTCTTTTGTTGACAACACATTATCATATGTCTCTTATTACAAATTTCGGAAGACGACTGGCATGGATTTAAGAAAGTTAGATTGATTATACTTCAGATCGGAAAATACTGAAATTTGTATAAATACAGAAAAATTGCATTCCTGCTTTCATTGTCTCATTCTTAGGGACTCAAAGCCAGCTAAATGTAGAGCGTTCGAAAAGCCGAATGGGGGCATTTGTGGAGACAGCAGCTCCTACAGCAGCCGAGGGCTCACAGGATGATGGGTGAGACATGCGTTCACATTCTAATATATTACAAAAAAAACACTTATGTTAAACAACAGCACAAGAGCTTGAAAAAGCAAAATGTTAAGGAACAAATTCATCTCTACAGCTTTTGATCTGCGTAAATCATTTTGTCATTCACATATTTATAACTTTACATTAACAGTGAGGTATACCAGACACAAATTACATACTCCACTCCTTACATTTGTGACACAATGAATTCCCTTTCTCAATATGGCAGTCTTTCTCCCTAGGGCCCGAGAGTAATTTGATTCTTCTAGCAGGCGGCGGTGCCTAACAGCCCACGCCTTTGTGGCTCACTAGAGGAACGGATTAATTTGGGATTTCCACTTGCTTTTAGAGAGGCTTTTTGCTCCCCTATTGGGCTAACATTATAGTCTATGCCAGGAGCCAATCACTTCCAGGACATTATTTTGATTGACCCTCTCTGTGGCATTTTACACTCATATAAGAACCACTACAGAGTAGCGAGATTGTCCATTTTCTGACATCTTTCACCTGCATGAGTTGGCGTCTTACAATCTGGGTATAGACTTGAGAAGCCTTTTCTGATCGAATACGGCTCTTTTAAAAAATGGAAAAAGAAAGGTGTCGACCGTTCCCCATTATGAGCTTATTGGTCTCCAACCAACAAAGAAGTTGCTGTGGAAGTGGTTGTCATGGTGACTTACACCACTGTCGTCACTCATAATGTCATTTATGTTGCATGAGGACCTGACTTGGTGCTGCCTATTCTATTTAGAGAAATAAGCATACACACTTATGCGTGTATAAATGAGCGTACTTTTTCTTCTAGCCCTTCTGCAGATGTTCCAGATATCTTGGGCAGGCGGAAGTTTAAATCACCATCTTCTGATCAAGACACTTCATAATGGCTGGATCCAACAGAGTCTCATTAAAGAGCAAACAGTATTAATTTCACAATAAGCAAGGCTGATCTCTGCGTACAGCTCATTATGGTATCCTATCTGATTTCACTCGTTCAAACAAGGTGTCTGCTCTCATACTGAAACAATGTTTAATGAAAGCAATGAGCAAGAAGAAAATCACACTGAAGAACAATGAAATCAGAAGCAACCATGTGCTTAAAAGGAGTGTTCACCCAAGAAATGAAAACGGTGTCATCGTGTACTCACTCTCATGTCGTTCCAAACCTGTATGACTTTCTGCCTTCTGTGGAAAATAAAAGAAGTTCTGTCGTGACAACTCTCGGAGGGTTTAGCATGGTATTATGTAGGCTACATGATAATGTTAATGGGCCTCATTTATCGATCTATCGTGGAAACGGCCGCAGATCCGAGTGCACAAATCAATTTACGACAGAGTTCAAGTGTGATTCATGAAACATTAGAATTCCGCCAATCCCATCGTATGAAAGATCGTACGTAGATAAATGTGTCGGCAGAAAACTATCGTTATTTAAATATCACGCCCCTAAAAACACCCCGGTTTAGAAGCCTTGCCCCTAGAGTTTACGACATGGAGAAACCTAACACGGCCAAAAAGAGGAAGTAGCCTAATCTCATGAAAGAGAAATTGATCTTACTCTAAAAAGTAAGAACCTCAAGCTAAAAAGTGAAACTACATTGGGCTCTCACAAGCCTCTCTCATTCGACATCCAAATGTTTCCATTTTTTGCCATGTAACAATTGGTTGCTAAACTAGCTAATATCCATGATGTAAACAAGGCTTTACTTCACACTTGTGTTCCAATATCCACGTAAAACATCATCCTTCATATGCGCAAAAATGTTTGTTTGGGCGCTGCACGCTGATTTTACAGCGGACCTTTTAAATTGAGCAGTGTAACTTTTATGTTTGGTAGACTGAATTTTAGTTTGATAAATGGCTGAAATGTGTGTGTGCGGGGGACGTGCCTGTGCGATCAGTTAAATTGAATAAAATAAAGATGCAATAAAATAAAATGCATTAAGAGTGTCACAAAAACGAAAGTGGCCTATTTGTCGCACAGTTTGTTTTTCTTTTGTTAATCTGTTAATTATTCAAGAGAAATAGTTTTGTGTAGCTGTATTTATTTTATTAGGTTCACATAAGCGCGGCAGGTGGGTGATGCGACGATGTGTGAATCTTCATGATCAGTTGTTTATGCTGCTATTTGCGCATATAAAGCAAGAAAAAAAAAACTTCACTTGTCGGTCAGGAAAATAATCTAAATGAACAAAACGCTGTCATAATTCTCTATGCTGCACACAGTTTCAGCTTACTCAAAAACTTGCATACACGATCTGAGGACTGATGTGAAATTTGATCGTAGCCACAGCTCACGTCCATATTGATAAATACCAAGTTTTGCGTCCAAACGACCAATTTTCTTTCGTACATTCATTTGGTAAATGAGGCCCAATATGTTTGGTCTTGGCGGACTCAATCTGCTGTGCTGCTGCTACTGAGGCTTGCTATTGCCAATACATCCACAACATGCTGCTGTGAGCATGTAAGAAATACTGCTGCTGCACATATAACATATATGAAATAACCCCCATATAGCATACGTGAATCACCTTGTAGCAGATCTATACAGGTGGAGCTGGGGGAAGGTGGAGGGTTTCTGAAGTGTGCTGCAACTGCTACAGCAAGCACTAGCCATGTATTTGAATGTTGAGCAGCAAGCTCATTGGCTGCTGATGCAGAAAGAACCAATCAGCTGCTCCATGTGATAATGATGTCATTATGTCAGATTGAGTTAGACCTATAGGACAGCACCATCTAGAGTTTCATGACAGAACTTTGGATATATTGGAAAGAATTTTTGAGCTGTCCAAACAATGAAAGTCAATGGATTCCAAAATAATACTGTGGTCCAAACTTCCTCTTTCAGAACATAATCTGTTATCATTTACCCTCACGTCACTGCTGAATTGATTTCTTCTGTAGAACCCAAATAATCTGAAGAAAGTTGGAAATCAAACAAGACTGGAGCCTATTGACTTCACACTTTTAAAAATAAAGTTTCTTAAAGAGTGTTTTTCCTCAGATGCCACTGGGTTCCTTTCAGTGAACCATTTTTTGTGTGAGCACTTTACTCAAAGCCTTTATGTATTATGCATTTTAAAGGTATTCATAATGAATGTTGTAATGCATTATATATTTTCATGAATAATTTTAACCAAATTTAGAATGCATTATAATGTTTGGAGATTCCTTGTTAATCTCCAAATCTGAAATTGGTCGTTTGTCATGTGTTTTAATGCATTATATTTTCTCAAGGTGTAACAATGAATATATAAATATAATAATGTATTATTTGTTACAATTATTAATTAGATCATACAATGCATTATAAGGGGCATTCCAAGGCATAATTAATGCATTAAAATATTGAATAAGCTAAACAAATTTTGTCGACTACAAAGATACTTTTTGTGAATTGGAAAAGTTCCATAAATATTAAAGGTTCTTCATGGAAACACACATTCCAATAAAGACCCTTTATTTTTGAGAGTGACTTGTATGTAAAAAGAACACTGAGAAATTTCTCAAATGATCTCCTTTTGTGTTCTACAGGGGAAAGACTATCATACATGTTTGGAGCAACATGAAAGAATTTTCATTTTTGGATGAACTGCAATCACTGTAAGATTTTTCACACCATGTGCTCATGATGGTTTGCATTTGTGGTTATCTGTTAGTTTTGAATTGATTTCTGAATTCCTGATAGCACACATACATCTCAGAAACATTTTGATTAGCCTTTTTATTTTAGGCGATTTAAGAGTTTTTTAAAGGGGTCATATGATGCTGCTAAAAAGAACATTATTTTGTGTATTTGGTGTAATGAAATGTGTTTATGCAGTTTAAAGTA